GTGTTAGAATAGGGACCCAAAAAGGGACCATAATTTTGACAACCACCCATATAGGTATGTACATGTATGGGTATACAGTGAAGGACATATAGGGCTTTGCAGAGTTTAAGGCTCACTCAGCGTCCAAGTGGTCTCAAAAAATCAGGGCCCTTTAGGCTTAAGAGGTTTAGGGTGTAGGGCTGTAAACGGCACACAGGGATAGATGAGGGTATACAGGGGTCTGTAGGGTTTTGGAGTTCCATTTTTGGGTGTCCCTAGAAGAAGAATTGTGATATATAGGGCATTAGCAAGCGACTAACATATTTGGAAACAAATGCGGATCATGCTATCTTGGGGTGTCCTGTAGAAGGGTTGGTTTTGGAAATACCTCCTATGGCAGTTTCCCCTGATAAACCTGCGCCGTGTTCCTTTTTCATGTGCGTCTGTTCTCGTGCCTCTGTTCTATAGAGATTGGGGGAGAGGAGGGCGTTATCAAAAATGATTCTTCCTTCTGGAAGTCGCTATAATAAAGAATATACCACATTGGGGTCTGTGTTGTGCTCCGCTCCGTGATGGAAACTACCACATCATGGGCCCTGCTGCTTCATACTTTATACTAGGCAGAAGCAATAAACCGTGTAGCGCACCGCATTCTCGAGCCGTTAGAATTTTTCTTGAGTTGGAAATTCCGACCTTGCAGCCAAGGTCAGTACAGGCTACATGGTAGTTTCTCTAAATAAGGGGACCCCAATATAGACCCCAAAATACTATAGTCCTTATTATATGGACCCCCATAAGGGTACCCTAATTTTGAGAAACTCCCACATGTCTGTTTTTAAGTGCTCCAAACAGCACATACCCAATCAGCACACCGTGAGGTGCCTGCTAAACCCCCAATGAGGACATCACTGCATGCAAACGCATGGGTCCTTTATTGGGCCCGTGCCCATGACGAGGACTGTAAAATTCTGGGGTCTATAAAGGGAGGCCAAACCCTAAATCCTGAGTCACTTGATTGAAAACCCAACCTCGTCATAATAAACACCACGATGGAGTGGCAAGTCTGGCTAACGTGGAACTGTATGGGTCTAACATACACTTGAAGGGTTCTATACGGGTTTTTAGGGTTATGTAAGGTTTAGGGATATTACCCCGCTACTGGAGAAACACATGGAAAAGACCATATGATTATGTTATGCAGGGGGCTGGATACTTCCCAGTATCACTGTGGGGCCATATGAAGGTATTCTATACCATATACTCATACAAGGAATCAACTCCTAAATCCGGATCCAACCATCAAATTTGAGCGACTGATACCAGGAATCCTAACCTGCAGATCCTACAGTGTAGGATTCAGGGTTTAGGGTCCAAGAGGGGAGGGGGGTTGTATAGGGGGTAATATAGGGCCTAGGGTTTAGGGTTTAAGGTCTAAACTCCTCGGAGGGGGGCTGTACAGAAGGAAATATAGGGTTTAGGGTCCAGGGCTTATGGCTTAGCACGTAGGGTCAATCTCTGAGCCCTGAAAATGAGCACGGCGGACTGGCAAGTGGGTCAACTCCAACAAAGAACAAGATATTAGCGACAGGAAGTCTTCAAAACAATAAACTGCAAATATTAGCAACAGGAAGTCTTCAAAACAATAAACTGCAAGAACAAAACTGAAAAAAGGAATACCATATGCCTTTGTAGTCCCGTATATTCCTATGGGGTTACAAAATTCCCCACCTCACAAACCCTAATTGGTTTAGGGTCGAGGGTTTCGGGTTTAGGGCTCAATCCTAAACAGTAATGCCTTTTTTCCCTCTGTATCCCCCCTTAGCCTGCTTATAGCCAGTAGGGAATGGAGGAATGCATCCCCGTAGCAATGCCCATGTAAGCTTACCCCTGACATGTCACCAGTATTAATACCTGCAGATCACCAATGAAGTAAGGGGCCAACACACAATTTTGAGAATCCCTAGACCTCCATCCCTAGACCCTGATGTCTATGTACACATCTACACCGGAGACTATAGGGTAATATAGGGTTATGTAGGGATCATGGAAAAGAAAAAGAAAACTACTATTTAGGGGTTACATAGGGTTATACCCTAGACCCTCAGCCCGGTTTTTCTTAAGATTTCAAGCGCCCACGGAACCGCAGCCTCTTCGTCGCATTCTCTGGCAGCAGCTTGAGTCGTGTCCTCCTTGAGATCCACGCCTCAAAGAGGTTTAGGGTTTAGGCTTGTGGGTCTAGGGTCTCGGGTGAGAACCCCAATGCACCGGATTCCGCGATAAAGGCTAAAGATCGATTGTTGGGATGATTGGTACCGACCCTCCCCCCCAAAACTGACGCCGAGACCCGAAACAAATCACGACAGAGACTACGAATGTTTAAGATTTATAAGGATCTAGGGATTAAGGTTTAGGGTTTAGGGCTTAAGGTTTAGGATTAGGGTTTAGGGTTTAAGGTTCAAGCTTTAGGGTTTACGGTTTAGGGTGTAGGGTTCCTACAAAGCCCCGGTTTCGATAATTTCTGAATCCTCATCGCACGCCCTAAACGCTCAGCCCTAGACCCCCTAACCCTAAACGCATATGATGAAATCTTACGTGTGGGGCTTCTTGGTGGTTAAACCATGTAAGATTACTGTCTTCTTACAAAATCATTTACCCAAATTGGGGACTACAATGTAGGGGACTTCCGCATCCCCAACTACAATGCGACTTCTATGGGAGTACGCAGGGCTTGTAAGGACATCTTGGGGGCGGGGTCCTTGTAAGGGATGCTTTGCACTGACCTCTCAGACCCTAAATCCCTAAACCCCAAAACCCTACAACCTTAAACCAAATCCCTAAACCCTAAAACCTAAGACCCTGAACCCTGAACCCTAAAGCCCTAAAACCTAAAACCCTAAAAACCCTAACCCCTAAACCCTAAAACCCTGAAACTCTCACCTCTAGACTCTGAAGCATCCTTGGGCTCGCACATCATCACCAGCCTTTTTTGCCTGCGCATGCAACTGACAGGGCTGGTCGGGCATGTCTGACCTTGCCTCCAACTCCAGGCGGTGCAGGAAAGCACGTTCGAGTTCCTGCGGGCCATGTCGTGTTGTTCAGGCAAGATGCAAGACTTGCTGCAGGCGGTCCAGCTGGGGTCGCGGTCCAGGATGGCGCGAAGCTCCAGCTTCACTACATTCCGCACCTGCTGCCGCAAGGTCCGCAAACTTTCAAGACCGGTGGCACTGGGGAGCCTCGCGGCGTTTGGCAGCCTCTTTCTCTGCCGCCTTTGCCTTGGTGCGCGAATTTGCGCGCTGCTTCGCTTCTTTGTCCCGGAGAGCTTGCAGCGCCGCAGTCGCCTGCAGGCAGATCCGTTAGGAAACATTCTCTGCATCTGCCCCCCCTCGCGACCGCCGCCTTGAGGTCGGCGCGCTTTTTCTTGCGGCGGGCCCGCTCGTCTGTCTGCTTCTTGCGCTTGGCCTGCCCAACAAACGCACACCACTAGGCCACTTGCTGTTTAACGGCCGGCCGCCTCCAAGGCTGCAGCCGCCTTTTCCTCCTCCTGCCGCTTTTTCTCCAGACCGGCCTTCGCAGCGGCCTTTGCTGCTGCCTTTGCCGCGCGAGCCTTGGCCCGCGTTTCGCGCGGCTGCACCGCTTTCCCTCCGTCCTCCTTCTCCTTTTGCTCCACGGCCTGTCAAGCAGGCACAGTACGCGCAGCTGGCCAACCCTTGGCCCTGCATGCGTGGCCTTTTGGTGCTGCAGCGTCAACCAGGCACTTATGTGGACATGCCATCGCTCAATGTCCTCTGCTGTAAAGCCAGCCGCAACCTCACAGACAGAGCTACCTCGCAGAGCGGTTGCTCACAGACGGAGCTACTCGCAGGACGGTTTGCAATTTTTGGCTGAGGTCCGCGCCAGGGGGCGGGTGTATAGACCCCGCATTTGGCCTTGACTTGCTCCCGGAGTCATGGCGAAGGAGACCAAGTCCTGCTGACCTCCGCTGCAAAGGCAGGGGCTGCTCTCTATCACGCATGCTTTTGGGCCCTTGCGCTGTAGCGCACGCCTGATGTCGCGCCACTCCGCTGGAGGCGGTGGCTGCGGTGGCTGCGCTGCCGCAGCGGCAAGCTGGCATGCAGCCTGTCATGCTGGCACTGGTTCTCTGCGCGCGACCTCTTTTACACGGCCCTGCTGCACAGGGCCAAAGATGGCACGGGCTTGTTTCCGCAGGTCCTCGTCCGCCAGTGCAGCGCGGTCAGCCGCGGCGGCGTCTTCCTGTCGCATGTCTTCCCTTTGCTACTAGGCGCAGATGAGCTTCGGCTTTGCTGAGTTGCGGTGCCTCCGCCGTCGGCATGGGCAGGTCCCCAGACTTGCCCTGAGCCTGTTAGGGACGCCGCTCTGCACTGCCGCATGCTGACAGGCCTCGACCATATCGCAGGGTCAGGCGGACTGCCTAGCAGATGTATGTGCTTCGCTGCAGCCCCGAAGTGATGCGGAATATTGAGAGCAGCACACTCGTTGCCGCCTGCTGTGTTGTTGTTGGCCTCAAACAAACTTGCCGCCGCCAACCTACAAGCCGAGCCTTCCAGTCACTTGAAGGTGTGCACTGCAGCGCTGGACGACCCGGCGGCGGCTGGGGCCTTGGACAGCGGTCCACTGAGTCTACTGCAGCCATCCCTGCAGTCGCTGTCTTGAGTGCCCTGCCGCAGTACCTTCCGGGCCTTGCGAGCATCGCACGCTGGCCAGTCCGTACATCATCTCATGGTGTCACTAACTAACACACACACACACACACACACACCCGTGGCCGCCTGTTGTAGGCAGGTGGCTGCTCGCCTACAACAGGAGAGCACTGCAGCGCTGTTGCGTTGCGATTCGTTCTGAGACCCCAACAGAAAAATCCGGCGCGCGCGAGCTCGCTGGTTCCTGAAGCAAACATGCTGTCCACTTGTGCGCTACTAAGTTGCAGGGTCCTCATCCCGGCTGTGCTCCTGGTGTGTCACGTTGTCCTGAAGAGCTACCAATCAATAGCGCCCCGTGTACGCACCTTGGGCGGGTCTGTCGACGGTCCGCCTCTCGGCTTTCAAGTTTTCACTCCGTTTTGGGCCTTTACCTCACGCCTGTCACAGCAGTCGCAGCCACTGGCACCATGAGGCACAGGCCTCAGAGG